GGGATCCCGGGGGAAGCCCCTCCCCGCCGGGCGGGTCACTGGGGAGGTTCCCGGGGGAAGCCCCTCCCCGGGCCGGGGCGGGACTCTCCGGTCGGCGGGAGAAGCGGAGTCCCCGCCCCGGCTCCCTGCTCGCCATGGCGGCCCAGCTGCTGCTGATGGTCCCGGCCCTGGGCAGCTTCCTCTTCACCTTCGGCACCGGCGTGGAGCTGATCCGCTTCGCCTCGCTGCGCGCCGTGCTGCCCGGCGGGGGGCGGCCGGGTGCGTGGGGCCGGGGCCGGGGGGACCCGGGGCGGAAGGGGAGAGGAGGAGGGAGGGGCCAGGGGATGGAGCTGGGAGGAGAGACCTAGGGAGAGACCCGGGGGTTGGGGGTGAAGAAGGGAGACCAGATCTAGGGGGGACCCAGAGGAGACCCAGGGCGGGAGGGGGAGCCCTAGAGAAGGCCCCTCGGACGGAGGGGGCTGGTAGGACAGACCTAGGGGGAGATTGAGGGGAGGGGTCTGGGAAGAGAGACCTAGAGGGAGGCGGAGCCCTAGAGAAGAGCCAGGGCGGGAGGGGGTTAGGAGGGGAGACCCAGAGGGAAGCCCCGGGGGAGGGGGGGATCCCGGGGGAAGCCCATCCCAATCGGGGTTGGGAGGGGCCCAGCGGGTGGGGGAGTGAGTTTGGGGTGGTTAAGGGGGGAATGGTGAGGGGCCGGGATTGGGGGAAGCTATGAGGGGAGGGCGGTCAGGGTGGGACCCGAGCCCTGCTGGGGATCAGGCCAAGGTTGGGAGCTGGGGGGCAAAGAGGGAACTGGGTGCAGGAGGGGGAGCAGTGCCCTAGGGGGGAGCCAAATGGGTGACGCCTCACCGGGTACATTCTGGCCCCCATTAATCCCCATCTCCCCCTTTGCAGAGGCCACCCCCAGCGTGGAGTGGGGGGCCGCCCTGCGGGACCCCCGGGTGCTGCGGCCCCTGGCCGTGGACCTGGGCCTGGTGGCGCTCTTTGTGCTGCAGCACAGCCTCATGGCCACCGCGCCGGTCAAGCGCTGGACCACCAGCTGCTTTGGGGTGCTGCAGAGATCCTTCTACGTCTTCTGCACCGCCCTGGCCCTCCAGGTACCGCCGGGGGCTGCAGGTCGGGAGTGAGGGGCACTAGCAGAGCTGTGGGAGAGCCCAGGGCTGGGCTAGCAGGGGGCTGTGGGTTGGGGCTGGGGGTAGCCCAAGGCTGGGCTAGCAGGGGGCTGTGGGTCAGGGCTGGGGGTGTTGGCAGAACTATTTCTAATGGGACTCCCCCACAGCTACTGATGCGGTACTGGCAACCTGTCCGGCACGGCCCCCTGCTCTGGAACGCCTGCACGGAGCCCTGGGACACCTGGGTCCCACTCATCTGCTTCATCCTGCACTTCATCGCCTGGCTGGTTATCTTCAGCGTCATCCTCATCTTCGACTATGCTGAGCTCATGGGAGTCAAACAGGTACCTCGGTCTCCTTGCAACCCGGGCCGGGGGATTGCCTGGCTCGGGGGATGGGGAATGGGACACGGGGCCTTTCCCCTCTAGGGGGCGCCGGCTCTGATCCAGCCCCAGGCTGGGGAACTGGCTGGCTCAGAGGGGTGGGGAATGGGTTATGGAGCCTTTTCCCCGCTAGGGGGCACCAGCTCCAATCCAGCCCCAGATCTGTGGGGGTGTCTCAGCTCTGCCCTTAACCTCTCCCCCTGCCCCCCAGGTTTATTACCACTGTCTGGGCATGGGGGACCCGCTGGCGCTGAAGTCCGTGCGGGCTGTGCGGCTCTATTCTCACCTTCGCCACCCCGTCTACCTGGAGTTCCTGCTGGTGCTGTGGGCCGTGCCCTGCCTATCTCTGGATCGCCTCCTGCTGGCTGGCCTCTTCACCACCTACCTGAGCTGCGGGCACAGCCTGGACCAGCAGGACTACCTCTACCTGCGTGCCCAGCTCGACAAGAAGTTCCTGGTCTTCTCCCGTGAGGAGGCGGCCTACGGGGACCTGCTGGCCCGCAATGGCCCCGCGCCTGGCAAGGAGAGCTGAGGGGCCTGGGTCTCTGCCATGCACTGATGCCCTTAGGTCAAAAACCCTGCACTAGTTACCGTAGGATTATCACTTCTGAGTGCCTAGCATCTGCAGCAGCTTGCAAAACCAACCCTGTCCCTGCTCTAACCACTAGGCTCCACGCCCTCCCAGACAGGGGGAGTAGAGCCCAGGAGTCCTGGCTCCCAGCTCCCCCTGCTCTAACCATTAGATCCCAGTCTCCTCTCATAGGGTTTTAAGTTCTATTCCCAGCTCTGGGAAGGGGGTGGGGTCTAGTGATTAGAGCAGGGTGGGAGCTGAGAGTCAGGCCCCCTGGGTTCTATCCCCAGCTGTGGGAGGGGACGGGAGTCTAGTGGTCAGAGGGTTGGGTTGCGGCTTGGAGTCAGGACCCCTGGGTTTTACCCGGCTGCTTTACTCAGTGTGTTTTGTTTCCATCCTCAGTTGTGACTGCAAAAAGATTCTCTGAAAATGTTTTTTTTAAAACAAAATGATGATAAATCTGTGCTTAAGTTAGTAACACACTGAGGCGGATGCCTTATTGGGGACCGGCCTGTTCAGGGGTGCGGTAAATGGGACATGGGGCTTTTCCCCTCTAGGGGGCGCCATCTCCGATCCAGCCCCAGAGCAGGGAAACTGGCTGGCTCAGGGGATTGAGTCACGGGATACGGGGGCTTTTCCCCCCTTGGGGTGCCAGTTCCGGTTCCATTCGCTGGTAACCAAAAGCCATTCCCACCTACCAGCCATTCTGCGCCCTATGAATCAAACTGACAGGGATCCCGGCCCCAACCATCTACTTCAGGCACCTCTCCGCCCCCTTGCTGGCGGCCTCAGCAGTTATCAGAGGGCTGAATTGAGACACATTAGTGATGGGGGCTGAGGGGGCAGCTTGTTCTGTCCCCAGAACCCCAGTCTTTGGGTCTCAGCGGGGGGAAATTTTAACTGGACTTAGAGCTGGATCCAAAGCCCATGGGAGTCAATGGGAAGATCTCGCTGGGCTTTGGATCAGTCCTGAGACACTCAGTCTCCACGTCTTGTGTTTTTATGGTTTCCCTGTTCTGATGCAGGAGGCTGGGACCCCTCTGGGCTGGGCATGAAACTGGGAGTCAGGACTCCTGGGTTCTATTCCTGGCTCTGGGAGGGGACCCCAGCCTTACACCAATGCCTTAACCAGGAACCTTTATTTTTAAGCGCTGGTTTTGTTTTTTTAATGTGGTGTTCTTAACCCGAAGCTGATAAAGTATTTTTGTATCTTGGATTTTTGTGCAATCTGAGAAAACAATATTTTTAAAAAAATAAAAAAAGTCGCTGCTTCTTTTACACACTTCTCTGCCTCCTGGGTTGTACCCCCAGCTCTGGGAGGGGAATGGGGTCTAGTGATTAGAGCAGGGGGGCTTGGAGCCAGGCCTCCTAGGTTCTACCCCCATCTCTGGGAGAAGAGGGGAGGGGGTCTAGTGGTTAGAGCAATGGGAGGGCTGGGAATCAGGACTCTTGGGTTCTACCCCAGCTCTGGGAGAAGAGGGGAGGAGTCTAGTGGTTAGAGCAAGGGGAGGGCTGGGAGTCAGGACTCCTGGGTTCCTTTCCCAGTTCAGCCACTCTCCACTTGATATGACAAGTCACTTGTCTTTTGCTTCTGTGTCCCTAACTGTGAAACAGACGGTGCTGTAACAAGTCTGAGGCACCCTATTCTATTCATGCTTCTCGTCTTGGCTGGTGGGAGCTCGGCAGTGCAGGGAAGAGAACTGCTCCTCCTACTCCAGAAACACCATCCTGCAGCTAAAGGAAAAGAGTCACTACTCTGCAAATGGACAAGAGCCTATGACGGACAAGCAAGCAGTTATGATGCTCCCTGTTAGGGGATGGTGTTGGTACATGCACCCTCGCCATGGCATTGCATGACATCTCCCCAGCAGGGGGCAGTGTGCTAGGTGCACACTAGTCATTTCATTATACCACATCTCTCCAGTAGGGAGCGGTGTCGGTTCAGGCACACTAGCCATAGCATTTCACTCTGTCTCACCACTAGGGGGCGGTGTCGGTACAGGAACACTAGCCATAGCATTTCACTGTCTTACCACTAGGGGGCAGTGTCGGTACAGGCGCACTAGCCATAGCATTTCACTATCTCACCACCAGGGGGTGGTGTTGGTACAGGCGCACTAGCCATCGCATTTCACTGTCTCACCACCAGGGGGTGGTGTTGGTACAGGCGCACTAGCCATTGTATGGCATCTCTGCATTAGAGAAGCAGGGTTGATATAGGGCAGTGGTTTTCAGCGGACCCCTGGGGTTCCGCAGACTATGTTTAACATTTCCAAGGGGGTCCACACACAATTTTTAAGGGGGTCGCAAATGGAAAAAAAAAAAGTTGAGCCCCACTGCTCTATGGCACTGCTTCCAGTCCCCGCCAGGAGCCAGGTGGGGGTTGACGTCTGCACCCCAAGGTTGCTCTTAGCCAGGCAGGCAGGGGGCTGGATGCTGGGCTGGCTGGGGAGAATCCAGCCCGCGTTCCAAGGGCCGATGCAGGGGGCTGCGGCTATGACGTAGGTCTACCGGCATGTGTGCGTCACGCATTCCTGCTGGATTAGAGGGAGCAGACAGCTGGGGGGAGGGGGAGCGGGGCCTTAGCTAAGGCTCTTGTCTGATCCTGAAGGGTCAGGCGGGGCTAGCACCGGAACAAGGTGCTGCAGGGAGCAGGGTGGGGGCTCGAAAAGGGGCACTGTCCCCTGGCACTCAGCGCTGTTCCCAATGCCCTAGTGCAGCACTAGGGGGTGCTGTGCTGGAGGAAGTTGGTAAACGTCCCTTGGTTCTTTTCCCAAGAGGTGGGGTGGTAACCCCGTTGTCCTAATTCTCACGCAGCTTCTTCTCGTCCCTAGCCCTAAACCCCACCGCGCTTTGCAACTTTAACTGGCCACAGGAGGCCCCCCCTAAAATGCGGTGCAGCTCCGCTGGGTGCTGTTCCTCACCTGCCCCACCCCAGAGGTGGCTGCATCTCTGCGCTGGGGGAGTGAAAGCCGCATGCAGCGTCGCTGCGAGGCTGTTCCCCAGCTGCCCCTCCCCAGAGGTGGCTGCATCCCAGTGGAAGGGCTTGGGGTTATTTATTTTACCCAGCAGCTAGGTTTACACAACTGACTTGCTTTTGGTGGGTTCTCTTGAAAGAGGCGCCCTTCGCCTCACCTAGAGAGGTTGGCTCCTGCCTCTCCTTGTCCCCGTTATGTCCCCGAGACCTTGGGACTGTTTATGGAGGAACCTAGGGAAGGGAACCAGAAGGTGCAGTCCCTCGAAAAGACCACTAGGGGGTGGTGGTGTGTTAAAAATCACTCCAGGTGTTGAGAGACCCTACCAAAATAAACCAGTGTCCTTCCCAGGGCTAGCGGGTGAGCCTAGAATAATGAGCAACCTCCGGTATGCCTGAGAGACCCTACAATAACAAACTGGTCGGCACAGCAGCGCCAGTGTTTGATAGTTACCCTACAACAACAAATCAGCAAGCAGCCACAGGAAACCCTACAATAACCAATCTTCCTGCACCGCCCTTGTGGATGCAAGGGGCCCCACAATAACAAACTGCCATGGGTCCTCCTAGTGCTCGCCAGCTGCCCTGCAATAACCAACTGGCCCACCCAGCCCCAGAGTGGAGGAGACCCTACAATAACAACCCCCTGGGAACTCAGGCTGGAAGAGCGTAGTTCTGGAGGGGAATGGAGAGGGATTAGGTGGTGCTGGGTGGGCCAGGACTGGGAGTGTGGGGGGAGCCCAGACTGGAGCCAGCAGCGTCTGAGACCTGAACAAGGATGCACCCCGATCTGCTGCAATCCTGCACCCCCAAACCCTGACAGCCCAAATCTTGCCCCCGTAAAGCCCCCACCTGCAACAATCTGTACCCCTAGATCCACTGAGAAATTGCTTGAAATCCCCTGCGTGCTCAGAGGTTCTGGGGATCAAGCCGAAATCCTCAAATCATTGTCCCCCCCGATAGCCCCATGCAAATAGGTGGACACCCCCAGATCAAAGCCTACCCCCTAACCTATCTGTGCCTCTAGAGAGCCTGGGGGCTCCCCACAAAGAACCGCCCATCCTAGCCCTACCCCCTGATCCCCCCATCCCACACACCCTCCCCATCCCAGCCCTACCCCCTGATCC